TGTTTACTATTATGTTCCTGATTTTTAACATTATCAGCTTAATCCAGTCATTCTGTTGCATACATCTAATAACCCAGATCCCAGAAAACTTGAAAGGGTGCTTTTGTTAAGTTAGCTCAAAATTTTATGAGAAGTGGTTGCAAGTGTAAAGGGGATGGTTGATTTCTGAGACCTTGAGTTGATATATGCTATCTGTACTCATGTATCTAGGCAGTTGTCATCCAGAGGGATGGAAAAGCTTGTAAAGTTATTCTGCTTTTTAAAAACTATTCAGAAAAAAAATCTCATACTGCAGTCTTGTTAAATTTTTGAGGTGGGGGGGACTGTCCTCTGTGAAGGAATGAGAGGCAGGATTACTTGCAGAATAGGAGGCTGGAGAACTGGAATGGTAATTCTTCAGCAGCAGTAAGTTACAGGAGGCTGTGCATGTTTGAAAGTGACTTCTTGATGCCTGTTCAAATCAGTTTTTCTCACCAACTCTTTTTGCAGCTCTGATAATATCAGGCTCTTACTTGATCTTCTTCATTGAGTGGTTGGTGGTTCTTCTTTTCTGTAATATGGAGTCTTTTCTGTGGAGATAAGGGTGAAGCTTCCTCAGAGACAGAGAGATGTTGAGATAGATGATGGTGGAGCCTAGCTTGTTGAAGAGAAAGTTGATGTATTTTGACAGAAAGTCTTCTGGTAGAGGATGAACTAAGTGCTTCACAGTATTTTTAAGTAAGTAAAGTAATCAATCTGGGAGCCATTGGCAAAAGAGCAGAAAAAAGGTTTCAGGAGGAGATAACCATCATGGAGAACGTGTAAGTTAAAACTGATTGATATCTTACAGTATCTTGGCAATAACCAAAATCCAGCATAGCTGAACACTTAATACTGTAAAGACTCTTTGAAAGTAAGTTAGGAAGGAAAAGCCTACCTTTTCCATTTTCCTGTCAGTAATATATCCTATATTCCCTCCCCTCCTGTTACTTGCTTCTCTCCACCTTATGTATCTGACAGGTGACTTTAGGTAAGCACTAATTGTCTCTTCAGTAATCATGGCCGTCTTTAGTATTTGCCATAAAAGGCTGATGGGCTACTCATGCCTTGAGTGTACTTAGTATAAAAGAACAACTGTATTTTGGTATAAGGTTTCCTGCTAAGTGAATGAAGCAAGGGCATACAGGTGATGTCTCCCTGTCAGGTGTGAGTCTGCTGATACTCTGGGGTAGTAGGTGGAGACTATGACTGACATGCATGTGGCAGAACTTGCTGGCTGTGCTGAAGGTAGAGTAATACAGTAGAGCTTATTTCATTTGAAGAAGTAGCAGTTTCAGTTTTCAGATAAAATAAGCTTCTCAGAACTCTTGATTTCAAATGTATTGCTTAGAGAACACTTGAGAAGACAGGAGTTTCTGAAACTTGGAGAAAGATGTGTTTATGAGATGAAGGAACAGGAAAAATTCACCATTTTTTGCCAAAACAGGATTTGTATTTTAACTGCTATTAAGAATGACCATATTTTCAAATGGTAAAATGCTAATCATGTGTTTTAAAATAAAAATTGCCACATCAGCAACTGGCTCAAACATTGCCTTTCAAGTAAGTCTACTTATGTATTCTCTGAAATAGCTGGCTTTTTTGTTTGTTTTTAAATCACTCCTTCATATTTGAATTCTGCTGATTTTAAGAAAAGGTATTTAAAGTGAATCTGCAGGAACTGATTGGTCTTTCTTGGCATGTCTTGTGTATATATTGTAATTGTGTGAAGTCCCTTGATTTCTCACTTAATGATCACATTTAGATAGGAGTGTGACATGGTTCTGTTCCGTGAGTCTTGCAAGCACATGGTAAAGGTTTTCCCTCCAAGATGTCAGGAATGGAAAGAGGATTTGTTTCATTGTGTGATCAGAGCAGTCACCCAGCAGCTTGTTGCCAGATCTCTAGTGCCTGTAGCCAGCTGGTGAGTGTGTTCCAGCTTCTTTAGCTGATGCCTGACTAGAGCAGTGGACATTGCATTAGGAAAGAATCTGACCACTGTTAGCTGACACTGGCATAATTGCTGTGCCATCCTTCGGTAAATGCCGTTCTTTAAATGGCATTTTTTGTTATAGAGAGGTAAGCTTTTTATGGAGTGATAATTTCTCTTTCCTAGAATAAATAGTATATTTAGAAAAATAGACAGGAGGTAATAATCCTTTTAGCTGGTCTGAAAAAAAGCTATGCTACGTGTTGTTTAGCATCAGCAACAGAAATTCTGTCATCTTTATTTGATATATCAAACCAGAGGCATCTGTAGAAACTTGAGCACCACAGCTCCACTGTTGATATTGTAATTAGTGAGACATTTCAGTTAGTAGAAACCCATCTGTGGTGATTGCAGAACTGACAATATTATTTTACATACACATTTCATGGCCTACTTTAAGAGATACTTCTGCTCTGAGATGCAGAAGACTTGAGGTGAAAATGTACATGTGAGTTTATGATCCACTCAGAGATGTAATCTAGAATGAGTGCCCATGGGAAGTAAAACACTAGAACATGATTTATCCAAAACTTGTTTTACATGGTACTTTCGGAGTATAAACATATGCTGAAAGCTTTTCTCTAACAATTGTGTTGTTTTCTGAGACAAAATAATGAGGCAGTGAGTAGGATTCTAGCATTTGTGAGGTAATCTCATAAAGCTCTGTCTCACTTGAAGCAAATGGAATTACAGTATTCTTAAATCTTGTACATGTGAAGGAGTTTTGGATTCAGACTGCCTCTTACTTTGATATCAGTGCATAAATGGATGTGAGATCTGAATTCCTGACAATATCTTCAAAATTGAAAGAAAAATGTGTGCATTGTAGTATTGTCATTTAAAGTTTGATCTGGAAGACCACTGGATTTGAATTTCAGCATTTGCATATATAAACAAATCATCAGTTAAATTTTTTAGTAGCCAATGATTTTTTAAATTAGGTTTGATAAGGAAATATCTGCTAATTGAGAAAAGCAAATAAACTAGTTGCAAGAAATTATAAAGTTTAGGTAAAGCAATTTTTGAGCTTACAAGAGGTGCAGAGTTGCATGTTTTCTAGTGTCAGCCTTTCTAGCTTCTAAAATATCTGATAGAATATGTGGAACTTTAACAATCATATAGTTGCATGAAAACTATGTCTTGAATCATCCTTATTTTCTTGTTACATTCTTGTTGTTTTTTAAAATGTTTAATCATAACTAAATTTACTCATAGGCCTTGTTGAAACGACAATTCTTGTTTTGTAAATCTCTTATATTTCATATATGCATTATTTTAAGAGAATGAGAGGTACAAGACTATTGGAAACTGTTGTCCATTGTCTTTTATTATACCTTCAGATTAGATTTCACTTGCCATTTTATGCTTTGTCATTTGTTGTTTCTGGATGGCTTCAGACATCTCGTACAATTTTTAGCAGACCTTGCTATTTTTCTGTCTTTGCCTTTAAGTCCAGCCCTCTTTAAGTGTCTGGGAAATTTTGTTTTGCAAAACACCGAAATTGCACTTGTTTTCTGTTGAGGAATTCACAAAAGTTTAGTTTTTAAACATCCCTTAAACACTTAATTATGCTGCTTTGCTGGAGGTCGGTGTATTGTCATAAGCATTTCAGGAATCAGGGAGGTATATAATCCATGTACTTGTTATCACCTTCAAAGAGCTCTGAAATATTTGTGAAATCTGTCTAGGTTTTATAAAAAACCTGTTTATCTTGCTGTTCTGTTGTATTCTGTCCAGCTCTCTGGTGCTTCTGTTTTCCACTACTTTAGTTGCACAAAAGCATTAATTTTCTATTTCATAACACTTGAATTTCCCTTGTATCCTTTCTGAAGGACTGTCAGATACCCATTCCTTTGAAACTAGCTCTACTTGGATGAAAGATTATGCACTGCAGTTGGGCAGTTCTGTACTTCAGAAGTGTTGGCTCTCTCTCTCATGTGATTTCAGCAGTTTGGTGTATCAAGGTTGCCTTCTGTGCTGACATTTAAGTGAGAGACAGGTTTTGGGCTTGCCCTTTCTTGGAGAGGCTGTGTGTTGAGCTCTTCTAGATCTTCTTTGGACGCCGTTCAAGTGTTTCGTTTGTTCTTTGAATAACTGGTTGTTTTAGTCCATATCAATTAAATGTTTGCGCTTTTGTGATAACAAGATTGTCCTCTTGGGTAGAACATAGGAACAGCCAATGATGAATCAGACCAAAGATGCATTTACCCAGTCCAGTACTCCTTTTTGACAGAGGACAGTAGTAGAAATTCTTAAAAAATAAGAATGGATAAAGAAGGTAATGATTCCCTGTAATGCTTTCTCAGCATCTTTTATTCTTAGGTTAATCAAAATACCTGTATATACTGCACTGTTTAAAAAAAAAAATTAACTTGCCAGAATCCCAGAATGGTGGGGATTTTAAGGGATCTATGGAGGTCATCTTTTCCAAAGCCATGGGTCTGTCAGGATCATGTAGAGTAGGGTGTTCAGAGGAGAGTTTACAACTTCTCTCAAACTACCTGCAAGTTATGTTAATTTTATAATGAAATGTTATTCAAGAACTATCAGATTGGTATCCTGGGAATTTTGTGCAAAAATAGGCAATGTAATCAGTATGTCTTAAGACTTGCAAATAAAGGGTTTATTTCAGTGTTAAAATAATGGATTGCTTTAAATAGCTAAGTAACTATTACCTTAATGTTAAGGTGATGGAATCCAAAGTGCAAACTGCTGGAAGCGTCTAAATTTTTTATCTGAACTTTGCATTCAAATATCATTTATAATATCCTAGCTGTGATAAGTACCTATATAGTACAAATACTTTTACATGTTCAGCATAATAAAATTGTTTAGGATTTTATGCAGTATGTAATCTGAATTTAAGATAAATTGTGCAGTTCATCAAAGCAGCTCCTCATATGAAACACTGCATCATGATTCATCCAATGTGTTCTTATATGTCACAATTAATATTTTTTTCAAATTAAAAATGTTCTTGAATCTTTTTCAGGGTTCAGCTGATCCCTTAAACAGTGCTTTCCACCTGACATACAACATGGTATTGAACTTACTTCGAGTGGAGGAAATCAACCCTGAATACATGTTAGAAAAATCATTTTATCAGTTCCAACATTACAGAACTATTCCAGAAATAGTGGAAAGTAAGTATTGCTGCATGTTCTCATGTGAGTAGGTATAATACATGGTAACTTTAGGTATTTTTATTATGCTCATAGGAGTTTTTACCTGTGCAGTTTTTGTCTTCCCTGCCAACAGTTGCCACTGCACCATTTGTTGCCATGTTACAGTTTCAGTAATTTCCTCTTGGTCTTAGGACGTATACTGATATGCACTGTCAGTTTATAAAGAGAGCTTTCCTCTGTGAGTCAGACAAGAGTGGTTGTTATATTGCTAAACTATAGGGTGGGAAGAAGGAAGAACAATTTAAAACTTCCATGGCTCATCTAAGATGCAGGGAAGAAAAATCTTAGAGAAGAAAATCTTTCATCTTTTAGTATCTCAGTACAAGCTGTAAAAAGAACTTAACTGCACTGCATTCAGAGTAGTGTAGGTAAGAAAAGTTTAATTATAACACAGAGAAAAATTCAGAGAGATCTGGGACTTTAATTGCACTCCACTGAGTAAGTACATTTTGTCCCACAATCCTTGAGTAGTGAGTTTTCTTGAGCCAAAGTCAGTGTCTGGAAATTTCAACCACTGAGGGAGATTTCAAAACTTAATCCAGGAGAATCTTAAGAACCTGAGAGGTAATTACAATTATTGAGCAGTTTTTCTGTTCATTTGTTAATTGAATGTTAAGAGAAAGTGTTTATATAGCCATGCAGAGGGAGGGTTTCAATTACCTTTCTGTTAGTTTGCAGGTGCAGTAGTAGTTAAATATAATATTTATTTCCTTCCTTTATTTCCCTGTTCCATTTGGCCTAGATCTTTATTCTGCCATTCCAGCATTGATGTTTAAATAGAAAAATGGAGCTGAAGAACATTTTTCATAGCTCTTGGACAGTTTCAGTTTAGGCACCATACTGGGCATTAGAATTTTGTAGTCCCTTCAATTAAAAACAAAAAGGAGAGAATTGGCTACTTAGGAAGAAAGTATGCCATGAATATGAATGGATGGCTTATTACTTTTCAAAATCGGCAGTTAAAAATAAGGAGCACTTACCTGAGTTATCTCTCAAGTCCCTGTGAAGTGGGATTTCCAGGCCACTTATGAGCCTTCAAAAACAGCATGCAAGAGGATGAGTTGGTAGAGAGGAAAAAGAGATTTTTTTATAATCTGTTCTTCATTATTGTTTGCTGGTGATAATACCAGAAGAAGAGAATGATTCATACTGTTTAGAATAAAAACTGATTTGCTTAAATAAGGTACAAAATTATTGGAAAAAGAAAATACTGATTTTCAATTAATAAATCAGAGCCTAAAACAAGTTAGGAGGAACATCTTCTAACAACTCTCCTCTTGTTGAAACACATCTTTTTAGAAGATACCTTTGAGCAATCTTATATTTGTAGGAGGAGGTAAAAAGCAATGGTAGACACTGTAGTGGTAGACCTGTCTACAAAATCATTGCAAGTTTTTATGTGGCTTCTGTGCAAACTTAGATCTGTTATTACTGGATAATTTGGTGTCAGACTTTTCCAGTTTCTCAAACTGTTTATTTTAAGAAAATAACACTGGTATTTAATTCAGTGGATAAATGTACAGATTTCTAGCTTTCGAAAGAATGGTTTATTGTAAGTAAAAAATTAGTACTAGAAATGGTCACAAAATATTAGTTGCGGAGATCTGAAAGTAAAACAATCTCTGTGAAGCTATTAATTTTCATGAGATTTTCCTTTTCGTTATAGGAGTCAATAATTTGGAAGCACAGTACAACAAAATTGTAATTCCTAATGAAGAAAATGTGGTGATATACTACAGAATCCGCCAGCAGCTTGCAAAACTGGGTAAAGATATTGAAGAGTATATTCACAAACCAAAGTACTGCTTGCCCTTTCTACAGCCAGGAAGACTGGTAAAGGTAATTTGATTTTTCTTTTATTTTGTTTTTCATTTTCACCTATTTGTGAAATCTGCAAGGTTCATTTTTTTACCCAGTTTACCATCTTGAAAAATTACATATGTCACACTACACTCCAGTTTTGATATGTGTTTCTTTGCTAAGCATTCAATAATGCATTAAAATAAATACTGTTTTCATGATGAATAGTAGTCCATGACTGCTGTTGTAAATACCAAAAATACAAAACGTTGTGCGTGCTAGAATGTTGTTATATATGTTAAATTCTAACATCTTGCCATATTTCCAGGTGAAGAATGAAGGTGATGACTACGGATGGGGAGTGGTTGTTAATTTCTCTAAGAAATCAAATGTTAAGGTAAAATACACATTCTCTCCATTACCAAAATATGTACCAGACTGTTTTTTTCTGAAAATAAGATAAAACTCCTATTTCTTTATAGTTCTCAAAGGCAAAAAAAGTTCCTTTTACCCCAAATTTACAAAAAGCTCTGAACTTCCTGAAGTGAGAGTGTAAAGAAATACTATAAAGGATGCAGAAAACTCCAAGTCTAGCATTCAGTTTTTAACTTTTAACATATTTGTGGATATGTTATGGATATGAAACGTGGATATGTGGATATGTTGTGGATATGAAATGCTTGGTTTTACATAGCACTGAAAATGTTTCAAAGTTGTTTCTGAGACATTGCCAGTGCTAATTTAGGTTGTTCACAAGAAAGATACTGAATTCTCTCATAAATATACTGTTTTCTCTCAGAATATCTATAGAAGCCCTATGTGAAGGCTGAGAGCAGTGGGAGACTGACATTTGGCTCTATGGAGTGGGTTATCTTAAACTGGCAAATTGTGCTTTGAGTCCTAAATTAGGACGTGGGACATGGAATTGCTTGTCCTCGGAGATGTTGCCATAGAGTTGGAAAATTAAAATACAAAGAGAGCAAAACAATAGAAATGGATCTGAGGACATTTGGAAGAAAAGACAGAGGGCAGTGATGCAATAGAAGCCAGACTTCCAGAAATGCATTTTCATTGTTGGTCTTTGTGTAACTCTTAGATGGTGTGTTGGTCTCCCTTTCAGAAATGTTTTGACCAGCTTCTCTGCTCTGTAAATGAAAACCCAGGTTACAACCATATTTTTCTCTGATAGCATTTTGGCTGTAATTTTAGCAGATCATTGCCTTTATTTGCTAGGGCTAAATGCAAGGTTGTGTCTGTTAAGTTCTGGTGGCACCTGTTCATTGTGGCACCTTTTGGTACTTTTCTAATATATATTCAGTAGAGAGGAAATGAGAAAAATGTTCATACGGAACTTACTAAAAGAGATGCTGTTTTGTTTTCCATCTTCCTTTTGACAGTCGTATCTCTTTCTTTTTTTAAGTTGAAAAACTGGGCTGTTACTGCTGTTGCTTAAATCTTTGGTTGTGGATTGCTTTTCTCATAGAGACGCACAAGTAATAAACCAGATTGTCCCCTAGTTCCAGCTTTCTCTGTAAAATTGCCAACTTCTGTGTCACTTGCAGGCATTTCTTCTATCTGTGTCATATTTTATTCACATATATATTTGCCTTCCCTATCTGGCCTGTCTCACTGTTGTGTCACTTACTGTTGTGTAACCTTTGGGCTTGAATATTAGCTTTGAAATTATGGACCGTTTTGCAAGAGATGGATGTGGCTCCAGCAGCACTTTTTTCATTAAGTTGTTCTCTCAGCTGGGTTGAATTTTTCCTTCTGAGTGTGTGGAAAGAATGACAATAGATACTGGAAATTAAGGAACAAACTTAAAGCAATGTAACTTTTAAAGTCAGTATGAAAAGACTAGTTTCTATGAGCAGAGGCAAAACAAATTACTTGAAGAAGTTGTTGTTTACCCATTTTAGTGTCTATTCAATGCTTTTTTGTCCTGAGACACAGATGTCATTCCCCATTACTATTTAAAGTATGCAAGTATACTTATCTAGTACTGGAAAGATATTACTTATGCTGTATCTTTAGACCTTCATCCACTTCTAAGTGGAACAGTTCTTTGGGCTCACTTTTAGACTATATTGCTAGTTTAGTTGCAAATTTTTCTTTGCTATATCATAGTTCCTAAATCCTTTTTCTAATGAGAAATCTATGCAATTAATAATGAATTTTGGGTTATAGTATGTCTGTATTTCACATAATACTCCTTGTTCTTTGCAAATGCATGAGTTATGTCAGTTATGTTTATTATTAATTATATGTAGATGTTCCAATGTAATTAGACAAATCAGTGTTCCATGAAACTGTCAATACAAATAGCACTTTTCTATCTATTGTTGTTCAGAATAGAATTAATCTGAAGCAGGGATGCTTGCTATATATTCTAAATGATAGTAGGCAGCACATTAACTATGTCCTTTGGAATTCATAAAACCCCATAAAAATTTTTGAGTGAGAAATTTTATTTCCACTGGATTGTGCCAGAAGTAAGCTAATGATACTGTTGTGCTGTTGATAGTCAGTATTATTTCATCCCTGATTCTAGACGTGAAATTTTTGTCTGTTAAAAATTATTGATACCAAAATTTGAGATGCTGCAATTCTATCTTCCCTGTTTAGATTATTATAATCCTTATTTATTTATAATGTTTACTACATAAACATCTCTTTTGTCGTGGTCATTGAATTGTCAGTAAGTTTGATATTACCTGTCTGGGACTCTGAATTTGGTTTTTTTTCTATTCTTCTTGGTTCCTGGGCACAATCATCTTTTTTATTTTGGTTTGTTTCCAAACACTTGAAGTAAGAGGTGTTTCAGGGCAAATCTAAAATCCTAAGAATTCAAATAATTCTGCAGTACTCTGCTCAAAAGGACTTAATTTTGTCCTTGAAGGATGTGACTTGATGCAGGATGAATTAAAGAATCATTTGAACTTGATATGATAGAGAAGTCTGTGGCTAACAAGTGCTTTAAGAGTTCTAGTCTCCTTTTATTCTTGCATATAGAAGCATGTTGCTGTTCTAGACTGTAGTGGTTTTTAGTACCTATACTGTTGTAGGAAATCCTGTTGAAGGAAAACAGTGCATGTTAAAAAAGCAGTTGTAGGTGGAGTCACATCTAGTCAGCTTTTTCTAAAAGCTGTTGGTGTATGTAAACTTAAACAGAGAAATATTAGCAGCAGATGTTAATGATTTTTATACTCCTGCTTTATTAATAAGTTTACAATACAATTTCAGGTAGAAATATTTTTCCCCTCTCATAATTTTCTAGATATTTCTAGTTCTAGTATTTTCTGTAGCACACTTGTGCAGCTATGAGTTTAGTCTCTACTTCATTCAAGTCAGCATTGTGCTTTCCCTGGCTTTGGCCTGGATACTGATCTGGGTACATGTGGGTATTTTAAAATTCTAATTCAGAGGGTGAAGTGGTTTGGATCTCCTACCTTGCTGTGAGTGCTTTCTGCAAATGTAGGATATATTTCAGAGGAACAGTTTCTTCCTGAGCAAGTAATTGGTACTTCTTGAAGAAATAATTTAGCTTGTACAACAGGATAACCCTGTTTTTCTCTTTAGTTTATGGTGGCACTTTCTCATAGCACTTCTGAGAATCCCTTAAAAATGCTAGCTGGCATGCAGTGAAATAAAATAGTATGTTGTAGATTTGTAATGAAAAATATTGCCCAGTAAAAATGAACTAAGATGGGATTTTGAAAATAATATCTTCTTTTTCTCTTGTATTTGGAAGCAGAAAGCTTACATATGGTATTTTAAAAGGTGATGTCTGCCTTGTGTGTTGGGCCTATAATTTGCTTCTGTTCAAAGTCCTAAAAAGTACTTGTTTGTAGTAGGAGTGTATTTGAGCAACCCTAGTGCATATTGATCCAAATAACTATTGCCAGTCTTTTTTAAAGCAGGATGTAAAAAAGGTTATGGCCTTGTGAACAGTAGTCTTTAATCACCACATCTACATGTCTGTGTTCTTTAAATGAATGTCAGATGTTATGGATACCGTTTGGGTTGTATAAAGATGCAGCCTGTAAAATGCAGCTTTCTCCTTGCCACAGATATAAGCTGTTATGCTTGAAAGATTTTTCTGTGGTCTTTGTTGTGCATGAAAACTGGAACCTGCAAATGAAAGAGATCCCCTAAATTTTGGGTTGGGTTTTTTTTCAAATGCAAAGTTGTGCTAGCATGATGCAAATATGCATTACAGTTTTAAAACATACTGGCTTTCTTTGAATGAGCTACATTTAGAATAAAATGCAGATGCAGCTGAAACTTCAAGCAGACTTTAGGCTACTCTGGCAAGGGAGGATGGGGGAGAGTAATTTTTTCAAGTGTGTTTTTCTATGAGAGGGATCTCCCAATGAGTTCACCAGAGTGTGGGTTTTCAGAGTGTACTGCAACACTGAACTGATACTCTGTAAGAGACATGACTCAATTCATAACTTTAATGCTGGAGAAATTATGTGTTTTGCATTCATTCCTGCTTGTATTTTAAAATACTGCTACAGACCTGCACTTTTTCTGTACCCTCAACAGCCAAATTCTGGTGAATTGGACCCATTGTATGTAGTTGAAGTGCTCCTGCGCTGCAGCAAAGACAGTTTGAAAAATTCTGCTACCGAGTCTGCAAAGCCAGCCAGACCTGATGAGAGAGGAGAGATGCAGGTTTGTTACATGTTTTTATTCCCAGTAGTTCCTATAAACTTTCCCAAATCTTCATTTCCAAACCATTTGCACATTCTGGTAAAAGAGGGACTATACATTTAAGGAAGAGAAAGAATCTGTACACCTAACTCTGCCTTCTTAATCAATTAAAGTAATACATTTTTAGTAGTACTGTTTGACAGATGCTTTTTTTCGCAGTATCTTGTCTCTGGGAACAGAATTCCTTTTTTATTTATGAAAATTATTAAGGCTGGAAAAGATTTTCAAGATCATTTAGTCTAACCCTTGAACGCCAGCTTATCACTTAAATCATAGGACGAAGTGTCACAGCCAGTTGTTTCTTGAACCCTTCCAGGGGATGGTGACTCCACCACCTCTCTGGACAGCTTTGCAAAACTCTCTTATTCTAAAATGAAACTGAAATTTTTTTTTTAGTGAAAATATTTGCATTCTTTAAAATTTTCAATTTGAAACCCTGTATCAAGACAAACAGTTACACTGCCTTTGATCTGAAAATTGTAATTTGTCTGCAGGTTTGTTCTCAGAAACTCCATATAAACCTTGGAGTTTAATGCAGTAGTGGTTCTTCATGGTGTCATGATGGTTTTCATGCTTAGGAAGATGTATATTCTGTCTTGATGTTCTTTGTTGGTAGCATTCGTAGTTAAGTATAGCACAATAATTTGTCTGGTTTGGATCAGAAGAGGTATTCCAGCAGGTAATACACAAGGTAATAGAAAAGCTGTTGTTTTGTTTTCAGTTGTAGTCTTTCTCCAGATGTAACTGCGTTCAGATTTTCCCATTTGAACAATTACTTTTCGTCTTTATGAATACTTCAGGTCATTAGCTGAATTTTCCTACTTTCTGATACACCTTTACCCACTTAGTGTTACTTAGTGTTCTTGAGCACAAAGTTTTCCTTTTCCTTTGAAAAGTTTTTGCCATGGACCAGTAATAAGAGGTATGTTTTTTACTGATTCATGAGTTATACACTCTCTTTGATAGGTTGTTCCCGTTTTGGTGCATCTTGTCTCAGCTATCAGCAGTGTCCGACTCTACATACCAAAAGACTTGAGGCCTATTGATAACAGGCAAAGTGTGTTAAAATCTGTACAGGTGAGTTCCACTAGGCTGTGTAAGTACTCTGCTCTGCTTGGTGAGGTATTCTTAAACTCAAGGCAACTTGTTCTAAAGAAATTCGTGTAAAGTTTCTGTCACATCTTCACCCTTACTCTTTAATAGTGTTGGAAGCCACAACATATGTCAATTGTTTTTCCTTGTTAAGTAATTTTAAACAGATTTTGAAAGCTGCAGAAACATCACATAACTTACATTACAGCCTTCTGTGTCTCTGTAGTTATACCAGCTTGTTTTACTGTTACTTATCTTAAAAAAACCTTTTTCATAATTTTAGGAGGTACAGAAACGTTTTCCTGATGGAGTGCCCTTACTAGACCCTATTGATGACATGGGCATCAAAGACCAAGGGTTGAAAAAAGTAATCCAAAAAATAGAGGCGTTTGAGCATAGGATGTATTCGCATCCTCTTCACAACGATCCAAACTTGGAAACCATATACAAACTCTGTGAAAAAAAAGCACAGGTAAAGATACAAACCAAATTACTTTGTTTAGCTGCAGAGGGGAGAGGGAGGTTGTCATCTTACTTGCTTTTCTTTTTCTTTGTAAAGCACAAATCAACTCTTAAAATTACTGAATCTCACTAAAATAATTGCTGAGTTGGTGGTGTGCCCTTCCTTTGTACAAATGCAAAGGTATGCCCTTCCTTCATACAGATGCAAAAAATCTTTTCAGATGAAAAGAAAACTTCAGAGGAAATTTTCAGGAATTAGAAGATTACCAGAGTTTTTTTCACTGAATAGGGATAGCACAATGCAGTGTAGGAAGGTCTTTATAAATAACTTTAATTGATATTTTTTAATATACTTGTGCAAACCTAAGTTGAATTGATGGGGCTTATTAGCTTGAGGAGTGTACCAGAGAAATCATTGTGCTGCTGCTTCCTGAGCTGACGGTCAGCCTGGAAGGAATGCAGTTACTTATTTTCTATAGAGTTGTACTGTCTTAGACTGAAATCAGTTATGCATAAAACCAGCTCTCATATTTCTATGCTGCTTGAGAAAACAGGTTCTCCAGGAGCCACTTCACAGAAGTGAGGTGGTTCTGGTATGGGCAGCACAGAGTTGCATGTGGTAAGACCTGATGGACCGAGCAGCTTTTTGCGAGGGTGTCTGCTGTAAGGATGTAGATGGTGACTGATGGAGAAGCCACTGTAGAAGTTCTAGTAGCAGAAGATTATGCCTTTGGCTTACATTTCATTGAATAATTGGTTAGCTGAGACTTAGTCTAGGTCTCAGAAGATGAGCGCTCATTTCTCAGCAGAGAATTCTTTGTCTTTTTAGTGTGGGCTGATTTGGTTTGTCTCCCACTGTGGGTAACTAGCTTAACTTCCCAAGCTTACCAGAGATTTCAGTAGGTAAATGGAGCTGATTTTTTTACTATTATTATTAAATCTGTTTTAAACCTTCCTCTTTGAATACTTAGGCAAGTCAACTAGTCAAGTAGTATGTTCATATACCATTGTTCTGAGGCCTTTTTGTAAATTAAACAATGTCTTTAAAACAGTTGCATCTGTTAAACCAGCAAGGTGTAATTCCTCTCCTTCTGGCCCCCCAGATTGCTATGGATATTAAAGTGGCAAAGCGAGAATTGAAGAAAGCCAGGACTGTCCTGCAAATGGATGAACTCAAATGCCGCAAGCGTGTTTTGAGAAGGCTGGGGTTTGCCACGTCTTCAGATGTTATTGAGATGAAAGGACGGGTTGCTTGTGAAATCAGCAGGTAACTGGCTTCTGTGCAAACTGTTCATTGTCATGTATATATACTTTATTGTCCTTGCTAAAATTAGTACATTATGTTTATATTTTAAAGTTTTGAGAAAATGAGAAAAAGGGTTCTTTAGAGACTGTGTTCTGTGTAATAAAGGTAATGTACAGATTCAAGCAGTGTAAGTAAAGTAGCAACTTAAGGACAAAATACAATAGGTTTTAAAATTAAAATGAAGACATGAAAATGCTAAAACAATGGCTATTTTTGTGCCTGACTTAGGTAATAGCATGTGTTTTCAATTAATGTTGTACATTTCTTGAGGGAATGTCTTGATTTCTGTGGTTGAAGTTGAACCAGGACTCTTGGTACAGTCAGTCACAAATGAGTGTAGCAATGATTGTCAGCAGTTACAAAGTCACTGACAGGTCTGCAATAGAATGAAATTGCTTCCATAGGAATCTGTGAAGTGATGCATTTAACTGTAATACATTTATCAGGTACATATATATTAAAAAAGGTGAAAAAATCCTGAATCAGGTTTTAATATCTTGCAGTGTAACTCAGATTTTGATAGGATTTAGTATTTTTAAAAGTCACAGTGACTGCTGTACTCTTTGTCTTACAGGTAAGTTTGAAAGCTGCTACCAACATTTGATAGCTAATTTTCTTGCAAAATCTGATAGCAAGTGGGGAAACTGAATCTGACTGTGTGGAGTGTTTTGAGTTACACATCTCTCTTTAAAAAAAAAAAAATCATGCATCGATTTTCCCCCACTCTGTGCGGTTTTTTTATTAACTCTAAAAATAGATGTATGTTTGGATTTTGTATCTGCATCATGCAGTTACTTTATAATTCATTATTAAGTCTTTATTCTTCAAGTAAATTGAAGCAAGTTTGTTCCTTTCTCCAGTATTTTGGAAATATCCAGTTGAATTTTCTCTAAGCAGCAACAGTACTAGTTTTAGTCCTTTTTGTAAGTTACCGAACTCCCTGGTTCTTTCTGTTCTCTTGATATTCTGTCTGATAGAAACTGTCTAATTCAACTATTTATACTAACTCGTATGATCTGTCAGGAGAGTTTTATTTGTAGTCCAGTAAGTGCTTTTAGTTTCTTTAAAATACTGTTGCAGTCTCTTAATCATTAGCATTCCCCTTAAAAAGCTAATGTACTTGTTTGTGTTTGTCTATTTCGTGTCCCTCACAGTAAAATTAAGATGCTGTTTTTTTAATCCATATCCAGTTGCTTCACAAAACAGATTAATAATTCTTAATTTAAAAATTACATATCAGTAAGTCTTTCCCCTAAGCTTCATTCTCTTTATTTTAGTGCTGATGAACTACTCCTGACGGAAATGATGTTCAATGGGCTCTTCAATGATTTGTCTGCAGAGCAGGCAACTGCACTACTCAGCTGTTTCGTGTTTCAAGAGAATGTGAGTTACTTCTTCAATTCAAGAATTGTAGACATTCCTGTATTCTAACAATACTGTTTTAAATTCAATTGCAGAAATTGGTCATAACAGTATGAGCCATTGCACATTTTTAATCGCTTCCTAAGATGTTTGACATGAACGCCCATTGAACTTAGTAAAAACATTTCAGCTTCAATGCTGAAGTCCCTTTCCTCGTGAGAGACAGGTTGTGTTAAATTGCAGTCTTCCTTTTGCAATGAAAGATTCTCAGCATATGTGCTGCTGTTAAAACACACACACCCCTCCATATAATAGAAAATGTAGAATGATTTCCTCAAGAAGATGCTTAACAATAACTGCACCCTGCACTCTGGGATGAGCATGTATTTAATCCTCAGACATGTCTGTGTTATGTTACATGGTCAGTACCCTTGACCATTGATTAAAATGGCAGTACCACATGGAATTGATACCAAAAAGGCTGTTGAAATCAGATATGTTTTTAAAAGCACTTAATCTGGCATTTAATACCAGATGTTACTGTTTTCCCACCTGCAAGCCTGTATACAAGGTTGGTATCACCCCAAAAAATTAATAAAATTAGTAAAAATAAACTTCCATATGAACCATGTGAAATATTTTTGCAAGTAGGTAGCAAGGTGTAACAGCTTGATTCTAAATATGGAAAAAAACCACTAGCAGCAGATGCTAATGCATTCCATTTGTTAGTAGAAGGGAAACCAAGGTAAGCCATTGTTAATTAGAATATTGGGATTCACTCAACAATAGTACTTGAGTCTAACCAGCTAGAGCATAAAGATGTTCCTGTATTTGGAAAAGCCATGTTTTCATATATTGCCACTGATGCTTAAGTTATTAAAAACGTTTTGTATTCTTAAAGCTTGTAACTGTCAAAGTAGTTAATGGCAGTTTGTTCGTCAGTTTAAAACTATGATGCAACTAAACAGAGGGAATTTTGGAAGTATCCAGAAAGCAGGTGTTGCTTTTCATAATGTTGGTATACTTCACAGAAAGATTTTGTTTTCTGATCTAGTTTGAGGAACAAACATTTGGGGACTTCAGTAATTTTAGTGCTTGGCAACTCGTTTGAGAATTTATTGGAATAATGCAGAGTGGCAGAATCACGCATTGAACTTGTCGTTTTGCATTTAATTTGGTATAGAGCAAATGTATGGGAGCACTTCAGATTGTTTAATATCTTCTTTTTCAGTCCAGTGAAATGCCAAAATTGACTGAACAGTTGGCAGGACCACTTCGGCAAATGCAGGTAATTAGAAATCTGTCTGAGCTCAGGGTTAATGTTGACATGAGCAAAGCTCATGAGTAATGTATCATAAGTGTACAGTAAAGACCTGATTTTGAATCATCAGTGAATTCAGCTGGCACTGCTTGTGATTTTGCAATGTGTAGTTAATAATACATTATATGGTGTGCAAGAAATCTTTATGCTAATTTAGGACAAGCCTCTAAAAGTTTTGTAAGCTTGTCTGCTATACTGTAGATTCTTAGTGTAGGCAGACTTCATGTCAACAGTGATTTACTTTCTGATTATGAGTAATTTTGTGCTAAAAAGAAAACCTCATCCTGTAATGCAGTACCTAATAATGTGCATAATTGCTGTCTTTTTGTCAGTTAAATTGTTACCCTGGTTAATTATATTACACGTACAAAATATATTATTTTACAGGAGTGTGCAAAAAGAATCGCCAAGGTGTCAGCAGAGGCAAAACTGGAAACCGATGAAGAAAATTACTTGAATTCTTTCAGACCCAACCTAATGGATGTTGTGTATACATGGGCAAATGGAGCTAACTTTGCTCACATCTGCAAAATGACAGATGTCTTTGAAGGTAGGCTAAACACTTGTTCTTTAGAAGGTATGACTTTGTAATTCTACAACAGGGAATGGTAATACTGAATAACCTTACCATAAATTCAGATGCATTCAAGCAGCTGTATGGCCAAAATCAAGTGGGGAAAAAATTGTTTGCTATATATTTAAATTTATACTTACACACTGTTGATGATTTAGAATCTAGAATCCCTTTTTAAAGGGATGTCACTGTATTCTAAAAACTTTCTATAAAACTCAAATTCTAAGCATTACAACAAAAGGTAATGCTTACTTTTTCTAGTTAATAAAGGGGATAAAAACATGTTCCAAATGCTTGTCATCAGGAAGTACAGGTCTTGCATTTGTCCTCATTATAGTTAGGTTTTTTATTTATTTGGTATAACCAGATCTTCCTGCTGACTTAATGATGGCAGAAGTGAGAAGTGATAACCAAGTCTCTCTTTTAAATGGTTTTGTACAGCAGTGCAATAGAGATAGTTGCAAAGCCTAGATATAATGTGTCAGGTGGATTAATTTGGTTCTTAAAACTGGAGTACTAGAAACTGCCCCTTGAGGAAGAATACTTTGTTTTCACTTGTAAAGTATGATGATTTACAGGCCTGGTATTTTGCAAAAACAAACCATCCAAAGGGCTGTCAAACAAGAATGGTCAACACTAAAGGTCAAGCCAGAATAAAAAACCAGCCTGTTGGAAGTTGTGAAGAGTAGGATGGATACACCACTCTTAGAAATTTTCCTTTTTGAGTTGTTACTGTCACTGTTGCCTTGTGCTTAAATGCCGTTTTCTTCTTCGCAATGGTTTGCAGGTTCCTTTATAACAAGGGGATTCATGCACACAATTTGTGCATATAATCCAATGTCTAGACCCAGGAACTTTCTAAAGAAAGTTGCTTTTGAGCAACACAAATACTGGCAGTCTTTGCTTCTGCAGTCAACAGGTTCCTCCTATTTCAAGGAATATCTGAGCCTTCTATTTGCTATGGAGGCACCCTGAGTATGTGGAACATTAAAGCAGCTGGCTTATGTTTACATTGACACTTGAATGTTCAGAATACACTGGGTAGTAGCATTTTCCATTTACCATATTTATACTCAAGACAGTCAGCTTTGTTCTACTCAACAGTGCCAGCTTCCTCAAAATTAGATCTTAGTGGCCTGTTTTGAGGTCATCTCTTGTAACAGGAGTCAATGCATGATTCTCCCTTAACTTTCAGTAGGCTGGTTTTCTGTGCTTTATCCAAAAGGAAGGAAAGCACTTCAGGCATCCATTGTTGGTTATGTGTGCCTTAAAAGGTCTGTGGTGTTCCTAAATCCCAGAGTAGTTTTCCTTGGTTATCCAAGTAACTGTAGTGATTTAAAAGAAAATCAGAATACAAAATAAGCCCGAGTGTTCCAAGAACCAAGTGTGTTTGCCACAAAGTGGAGTAGCATTGATATGGTAATAAAAATGCGTTGTCTTTAATTAAAGCTGAATTATGTGTTGGGAAGAAATAAAAATAAGAGCAGCTTTTCAAAGCCATTAGGAAAGAATGCTAAACTGAATTAAATATCCTGTCTGTTAATGACAGACCAACTCCTGCTTTATGGAAGTATAAACAATAATAATTCATTTTTAAATTGCAGTTTTCTTTTTCTTCCACAAAAAACTATGTCTGCAACAAGCCCAGCCTGTAAACCAGTACTCCCTGGAATGGCTGTCGGGGCTTGGCCTTGTAAATGGAGATGAGCAGGATCTCTGACAGCTGAGCCAGGGCCTGCCACAGTGCAGCACAGCCGTGCTGGGGCAGCTGCTCTCAGGTCACTTGTGTTGGTGTGTGCTCTGTGCTCAGTAGGCTATGGGTGCATTTTTCCATCTCTTGTCATTGCAACAGGTTTTACAAACTGCTGCTCTTACACAGACTGTTCTCACTGTGGAAACTGACGTGGCCTATTGAGGCCCTATGAATCTTAGAAGAGAAGCATTACTTTATCATGTCTCACTTTCCCAGGAGCTTTGAACAATATTCTTTTCACACTGGGGATTTTTTCCTCAGGTATTATGCCTTAATGGGGTAATAGAAAGGTTGTAGAGACCAAGCCCCCTCCAGTGAGCAGAGACATTTTCCCCTAAATTTGGTTGCTCAGAGCCCCCTCCAACCTGACCTTGGGTGTTTCCATGTATTGAAAGGTTACAATAAGGTCTCCCTGGAGCCTTCTCTTCTCTAGGCTGAACAACCCCAACTCTCTCAGCCTGTCCTCAAAGGAGACCTGTTCCATCTCTGATCATCTGGGTGGCCCTCCTCTGGACTCACTCCAACAGGTTGATGTCCTTCCTGTGCTGGGGACCCCAGAGCTGGATGCAGCACTGCAGGTGGGGTCTCATGAGAGCAGAGGGGCCAATTGCCTCTCTTGCCCTGCTGGCCACACTGCTTTGGATACAATTGGCTTTGTGGGCTGCAGGTGACATTGATGGGTCATACAGAGCCTGTCATCCAGCAGCACCCCCTAGTCCCTCTCAGCAGGGCTGCTCTCAAGCCCTTCATCCCATAATTACCCATTAACAGTTATTTTGCCTACAGAAATTTTGACTGTCGGAGATGCTGCTGGAGGAGATTACCAAACAGGATACTGCTTGCTTATGGCCAGAAGAGCAGAAGCATTTAGGGTTGTTTTGTGAAATTTGTAGCAGTGACTTGGGCTGAGCTGTGAGGAAAGTTCAAAGAGGAGATAAATGCATAATAAATCACAAGTGAGTGTTGGGTTGCAGTGTAGGAGCTGTGGCAAGATGCTTGTGTGCATTATTGGAACCATGCATGGTGTGGTAGAGTGGTCCATGAACTCTTAAATAGCTCAGGATTAGTGAGACAGATCACTTACTGTTTTACTGCCTTTGCCAACAAAAGAACTAAGGCTTATAAAAAACAACCCCAAAAATAAACCTGTGGTAGTTCTTGAAGCAGATAAGTTATGAATCTCCTAATGCTCTGTGGTTTTTGAGGAAGTCTCAACAAGTTCTTGAAAGAAAAAATCGACTAGGAATTACTCAATAGCCCAGAAAGTAGTGTGATTAGATATTAATTAGAGACTGTAAAGAGAGTAGAAAGGACAAGCATTTGGAAACAGCTTCAAGGAAATGCCTCACAGAAAAATTCACTGTGCAAACAGAAATTAAGTTTAAGATATTTGGCTTCTAGATAAATTGAACAGGGTTGTTCAGGACCAGTTACATCATGTGGCATAAAGTTGTCCCTTGCTCTTTCATACAGGTAGCATAATTCGTTGCATGAGGCGTCTAGAAGAACTGCTTCGGCAGATGTGCCAGGCTGCAAAAGCCATTGGGAACACTGAGCTGGAAAATAAGTTTGCAGAGGGTATGTACTTCACTTTCACAGTACATGAAGCAATTTAGAAGAAAAAGTGATGGGGGAAGGGTCTGCACAGGTAGTGAGGACTGAAGGTGAATAGTTTTGTAATGTGAACTTCTTGTGTTGCCATCATAGTAAACAGCACCATTGCTGTTACCTTTCCAGAGAACATCTTTATTACGAAGTTTGACTTAAAGGGTGGCTAAAAATGGTTGTACAATGTACATTAATAACCTGTAACATGCTTGTAACTGTTCTTTAAACAGTGGTTGTGTCAGTCAAGACTCCTAGATATTAATGTTTTTTTTCCTTCTTAATAGGGATTACAAAAATCAAGAGAGATATTGTGTTTGCTGCAAGCCTTTACCTGTAACAGCAGATGTCTTCCAGAAACTATACTGACATGATGGAACAAATTCATCAGTGTCACATGTGGCTTCCATATCAAGTAATTCCTTTTAATGGTGTTTACTTAAACCACAGTTGATTTAACAAGGCATGTACAAACAGCAGTGTATGTAATATAATTTGTTACAGTTTTTAATAAAAATTTACAGTTGTAATAGCTTTCTTTTAAGCAAGAGCTTGAACCAACAGAAATTTAAAGTTTAGATGTACAATAACTGTGGTAGATATTACTATATACAGGTAAAGTGAGCATCCAAGAGCAGCAGCAGTCCCTTAAAGGCAATTACTTATATTACAGAGTTAGACTTGTGAAATTGTTTTCTTTCAGAGCAATGTAGGTGATACGGGTCATTCTTCATGGTTGATGATTGCTGCCAAAGTGATTTCCATTTGTTGGAGTCTCATGTAGGGTTGTATGGGAATCTTCTTTTGGTTGAAATGTACATCCTCTCACTTTGAAGAAGTCTGACACATACACAACCTAAGTGAACAAATTAGTGTTAGGTGTTGATCAGTGTTAAATTATTCCTGCACTCACAAGTCTTTGAAACAAGGGCTCTGCAGCAGGCAAATTATATGTCAAAACTAGTAAAAAGCTCAATCAGTTTAAAACATTATAAGATGGCAGAGAAGTCTTGTACAAAATTCATACATCTATTCTTTCAATAGCTTTTTCACCGTGCCGTTGACCATTTAGCCACTGATGGTTTAAGCCAAATTCAAGGCTTGTGCTAACTGACTGCCTTACCAGGCATTGCTTCATTACAACAGCCATAGTTTGAACAGCTCTAAACAAAGGAGCAAAATGGGCTTTTTGAGGGCCCACAATGCAGGTTTAGTTAAATTTTTTTTTTCTGTGATTTAGGTGGAACAGAACAGGAGAGGTGGTGCTTTAGCTGGACCCAGCAGCTTTAAGGCCAGCTCTACCCATATAGTCCTTTCCTGCAGTCTTTTAAACATACCACCTCACTTCTTCACAGCTAGGAGACATCTCCCTCACTGCAAGACAGGTGGTTGATCCAATTCTGCAGCTTGATGTCTTCCACTGCTCATTTCACCAAGTCCCATAGCGGATGTGCTGGGCACAGTGCTGCATGGAGTGCAATAAATGAAAGACTCACGATCCCTTCCCTTCCTGTATCGTGTCTTCCCCTCCCACTGCAAGCCTGAGCACTGCAGAACACGTGAATGTCCATGGCACAAGAAACAATCTCCCACCACAGTGGCAGCTAGCTGCTGATCCAGCACACTACTATGGCCACAGTCCAGGGGAGTTTCAGCTTCCACTTAATGCCAGATTCACTCAGTTCAATTTAGTGATCTATTTGCAGTTGCTGTGCTGCTATGCTCTAACCTCAGCTTGCTGCTTCTGGAGAGGAACTCCTCAGTTCTTTCACATAAGAGCATGAGGGTGGTGGTTGGTGCTGGTGTATATTTTTAAAAATAATTTCCTGACCTTTCAACTCTACTCACTGTAATGCTACTTTCTACTCTTTCTTGTATTACCAAGCACCTTCTGAATCATCCCATATCCTTGACTAAACTTGTTTTCCTAATAAAAGTGTCCTCACCTCTTCAATCTCTGATGTTTCTTGCTCTCTGTACTCTTGTTTCTTAGAAAAAGGGGTAGGATTATGCCAACATGTAGCCATTTAGTAACAGCTACTGCAGCCTGTCTGATTTCCCAGAGCTGCTCCAACATTTGAGTATTGATTGCAACTAGTAGACAGCTTTGTCTGGAACCCTTCTGATCTGAGAAAGCTGACTAAACATTTATTGTGGAGGTTGTTCTTCTCAGCTAAACCTCTGTTCTTGGTAACTGAATCCTTAGTAAGACCTCAGTTCGTTCCCATTGATCCAGAAGTCCTAATCTATGGATGAATTGGCCATGGCACTCTGGTGACACGGAATACAATTGTTGTCACTAAGTCAACTAGGCCTGCTGTGACAAGTTTAGTCAAATGTCTGTTTCCTGGGACAGCTTTATACTCATCAGTACAGCTAAGCTTCACAGGTTCCTTGTTGTGAACACATTTTTAGTACTAGGAATGCACACCAGAAATGGTGAAGGGTTTTAGTTTCTCGTCAGACTGAAAAAACACACTCTGTAAGGTGGCAAATGCAGACACTTTAGTGCTCTCCTTATTCTTCAAGGCCCTTCCCCTCCCTGTTTACTTTATTAAAACTTACTTTATAAAACATACTTTAAATTATGTTCTCTGTTATTGTACTTGGGATTTCAAATTTGGCTAGAAGCAAAAAGTTTGATTTATATACAGAGGCCTACATGGTTTGCAGTTACCATTTCAATCTTAGTTATTTGAAAAGCTCTTGAGCAGGGACAATTTCATCTTGTCCAGTGGCTAAAACTACCACTTATATCACTGGGCCAGAGCCTGCCTCACGGCCCAAAGTACTATTGCTACAACTAGTTCAAGGACTTGTTTCCCTGTTTCAGCAGTTTAAGAAGCATTAGAAATACAGGTTTGCTTTGCTGTGAACACAGCCTGCAATTCTAAGGTGCTGTTCATAAAAGCAGCATTCATACACACCCGCCCCCTCAGGAATTACTTACAATGAGCACAGCTACCACTGCGCCCTGGATAAGTCCTGTTAAAACATCACTCCAGTGATGCTTGTAGTCAGAAACACGTGAGAGACCCACGTAGATAGATGCAGAAATAAGACCAAACTGTATAGTAGGACGTACAAGTCTTGCCCAGTCTCCTTTCATTCTTGCCTGAAGATAAAGCTGAAAGAAAAAGAAAAATTAGTTACAAAATGCAGAAAGCACAGATGCAGTAAAATTGTGTTGGGTCTTTTTTATTTAAAAGAGTTGATTGAAATTTTAAAAAAATAATATTCACAGCTGTTCTAGGTGCTGTAGTTCTCTCTTAAGGCTGCCAGGGCAGAGTGTGATAGTTTTGGACTTTAATTTATATATAACACCACCATATTGTTCCATTTGTACCGACATGACAAATAAGTATTTTCAGGATAAAGGTCCTGGTAGTACTAAAGCCACTTAAGGCTTAAAAAGAATCCAGTGGAAGTCAAACCAGTATTTTACTCCTACATGAAATACAGGTAAGCCTTACATACAAAATAGTTTACATTTACTATACAGAGCAGACAGGTTTTTTAACTTCATTCTCAATTCCAATCACCTTTAGTATTATCAACTTTCAGCACAGCATTGCAGCTGTAGCTAAGTATCAGAACTAACTTAAGGTAATGATGGCACTTCTCAGTTGTCACTGGTATATTTCACTGAGCTGTGTTCCTCACCCTTTTCAGCTGCGTATTAACCATGCTACCACTCTGGTGGATATTTGAAGTTCCCATGTGTTTTCCCTCCCCTCAGGTCTGCTTTGTTGTGTATATCTATGTTTTTGATGTATTATCTCCATTTTGCTGTATTTATTACTTTCCCATCTAATCTAATCCAAGACCCTGCCTTTGTTTCTTCTGTGGCCTGTCTAGGACCTGGCTGTCTACATCTGTCCAGCACTCTAGTTTCTCCAAATACATTCTGTAAACATAATTGAATTTATTCTGAAACTTAATCCTATCACAAAAGAAAGCACCATAGTTACTGCATTCACTGAGAAAACAATACATTTGGAGGTTATATTTAACATTTCAAGTTATCTTCTCAGAGACACCTAGAAACTTCAGGTCAAGGACAAAACCGTAGCTGACAGTCTTGAGAAATGCAGAAACCAACACACAGCCATCAGGCACGAAGGCAGTACACCAAACTCCTGGTAAAACCCTCCACTGCTGACTTCAAAAGCCATGGCTAACTTTGAGAAGCAGTACATTTACCATGTAAATACAGGCACAGAGAAGACACTGTAGATGCAGAGGTGATACTTTCCAAAGTTAAACATTTTGGGGACTGTTTCTCTTAGTAACTTACATCATAATTTTAGTATGCTGACATTTTCAGCTATAAATGGAGCATCAAAAACATCAACCCTATCCATAAACAGTTTTGTTTAATAGCAAGGTCAGGGTAGAATTAGACTCTAAAGAAGCTACACCTAAGACTAAACTGAAAAATAATCTTTCCCCTTCAAACTGGTGGGCACTGCATGTTTCTGTGGGCCTCAAACTCACCACTAGGGAAAATACAGTTTAGCCACTTCAAAAATTACCTGTCACACAAAGTTCTTTTAACAAAAGGTGTTTTAATGGACTTACAGTGGTACTACTTCTGGATTTAGTGACAGTAGACCAGAACACTACAAAGTGCCTAGTGGAGCAGAGGAAGGTCCAAGGAGCATATGCTGGTAGCCTGAAGAGTTGGCTGATGATTTAGTACTGGCTGTACTTTCCCTATTTCCACTAAATTTTCCTAAGGCAGTTAAAATACCTTACTGCAATGAAGTTTTTTTCCATATAAACATTTTTGGAAGTTGGCAAAGGGTGTATAGCCATAGTAGGGAAAAAAAAGTGTTATGCAACCCTTTTGCAGATATGTGAGAAAACAGGTTTACTTATGAACACAAGAATAAAATGGGTTAAGGCATGCAAATGCCAACTTGGAAGGATGCCAGCTCAGTGCACTGAATAATCAATAAAGCAGTCTTTGCCCTTATGTAGCATATATTCAAATTCTTTCTGCTCTACAAAACACCAGAAAAGAAATTTGGATTTTACATCTGTGTGAAAGCTTTATTTCTGTAGTTTGAGAGGAATCTCACATCACAGAGAAGATCTGGTGCTGTTCTATCAGCTGCAGAGCATAAGCAGTTGGCTATAGACTTCACAAACTCTAGGTGATTGTTCACACCATCAGCTCCTCTATCTGTACAGGAAATGGCCACAGGCCTTCTTGCACGTTCTATTAGCAAATAGATTTACAGTGTTCTTAAACTAGGTGTGAGAAGGGTGAGAAATGATACCACAGATAAGTGTTAGGCTGACTGATCACTGCTGTATTTAATTTCAGAAATAGCCGCTGTCATTCTGGTTATGATTGGGTTTGGGTTTGTGGGGTTTTTTTGTTAAGTTGAAAGTAATTGCTTATTAACCAGCTGTAGCAAATGCCATGTTATTTTTAAGCAGGTAGCTTCAAAGTGACAGTGCTTTTAACAGGCTCAGAGTTGTGCTACCCTGCTAAGCTTCTTCCCACTTCTGTGACTTGCTCCTAGAAAGACACCAGCAACATGTCTGCCTGCAACAGGCAGGCTGTCAGGTCCCTGCAGGAAAATACAGCAGCCGAGGAGGAGCTTTTGCTGATGATTCATTAATTGTAAATCAAGGTTAATACTGGAAGTATTCCCAATTTTCCTTTATATAGTATTAGCCCTTATACAGCATTAAATGCACAAAATGGAAATGTCCTAGCCCCATGCTGCATTAACTCTTGCTTGTGTTTTGACCCTGTTGACTAACAGAGTGCAGTGTCTTCATGCTATTTACAGACCCTCCTCCTTTATGGCATACCTCAGGTTCCTTTGCTCCTCTCTGAAGTCACAGGATAGCCTTAGAGAGAGAAACAAGAAGCAAATCCCTGTCTCCCCACCCATGCCTCTTTTCTAGAAAGGAGTATGTATATATAAGTAAAACTTGTGATCTGTAGAGGCCACAGGAACTTTAGGAAATCTCATCTGGTAATACTGACATGCCTCCTAGCAGCATTTCACATATTGCTAAGAACAAATTTGTGAGCCTGTGAACGCAGCAGGAGCATCCCAGGCTGCTCTGGTAGTGACCCACTCCTGTCAGCATTCTGACCATGCCACACTGTTCTGAGCATTTCTGATCCTTCAGCAGTTGCCTTTTAGCTGTGCTCTATTGCTCTCCACTCCCCCATCCTGCTGCTTTACATGTTTGCTTCATTCATTCCTTTTAAAAGTGCAAAGAGATTCCACAAGACTTCTTTTTAAAGGGATTAAATAATCTTCAGGTTTTTTTCCCTACTAGTTTACTCCATTATGAAAATATGTCCTCTATGTCACACACATCCTGAACACAAATTTCTTCTTAATCTATGGTCTAGTACTTCATTTCTAAAAATATACACAAGCAATGAAGAGAAACTCACAGCTACTTTGTGGCTTCTTGCAAGAAGCCACAGACATGAATGGAAGGGTCTCTGCAACTGGAGAATTATTTGCTACTCCACATTTCTAGCATGGCTTTTGAGCATTTGCTCTTTCAACAGAGCAGTATCAATTTACATAAACACATGCCTACCTAATTTGGAAGTACAGTGACTGGTGTTTACTAGATGGACTTGTGGAGGTGCGACCATGTGGCTTCACAAGGCGACTTCCTAACAGCTAATATAATACTTCTCCACTTTAAGGGCACAAAATTCTTTTAAATCTACCAAAACCTACTCAGTTCACCAACCAAGATCATATTTCAGATATTTAGTTTCAATACATAAAACTCCTTGGTTATTTTTATTCAATACCTTCTCTTATTTTTTCCAAAACCCAATTATACAGAAATTCTGCACTGCAAAATACTTTTGCCTATTAAGGTATGGGAAATCCTCTTGTTCAAGAATGGAAGTCAAAAGGAAGAAATTTGGAGAGGGGAGGGATTGTGGTGCTCCCCCACCAAGTAA